GAACTATCCCCCTAGCCCGCACAGCCACCAATTTTTGGCAACTGTGTCAGAAACATTTATTGGAGAAAAGACAGCCTCTTCATTAAATTCTGTTGGAAAAACTGAATTTGCACATGTAGAAACTGAAATTAGATATCTCTCACATATCTCTGCGCCTGCATAAAAATCAATTCAAAATGGGTCAAAAGTCTTAAGACCTGAAACCTTGTAACTGCTAGAGGAAAACCTAAGAAAGATGCTTGAAGATATAGGCATGAGCAAGGATTTTTCTAACAGGACTCCAATAGGATAGGAAATAACACCAAGAATTGACAATTGGTATCACATGAAATTAAAAGGCTTCTGCACAACAAAGGAAATGATCACCAGAGTGAAGAGACAGCTACAGAATGGGGAAGATATTGTTGTCAACTGCAGTTCAGACAGGGAGTTAATTCCAAGGATATATAAATAACCACAAAAATTCAATCCTAAAACCCCAAATCATTCTATTAATAAACAGACTAGTGAACTAGATAGACAGTTGTCAAAAGAAGAGATACATATGGCCAATAACTACTTAAGAAAATATGTTCAGCAGCCTTAGTAATCAGGAACTGCTTTGAGACTGCATCTCACCTGAGTCAGAGTAGTGGTCATCAAGAAAACAGATGTCAAGAACTCCTGGTGAGGATGTGGGGAGAGAGGAACCCTTCTTCACTGCTGGTGGGCATGTAAATTTGTACAGACACTATGGAATACAGCAAACGAAAGATCCATCTGAAAAAACAACCAACTTTTAGTTTTGTTAATTTTTTTCTCGTCTATTTTATTTAACTTTTCTCTAATCTTTATTATTTCCTCTCTTCTGCTGACTTTGGGTTTCGTTTGTTGTTTTTCCAGTTCTGTTAGAAAAGGAAATGAAAAGCACCCAAATTGGAAAGGAGAACTGTGCCCTTTTTGAACAGGACATGATCATGAACATAGAAAACCCGAAGTCCACAAACACTGTCGTAGTTAGCATCAACTGTCAACCTGACACAGCTAGGCTCACCTGAAAGAATCCCAGCCCAGTAACTGCCTTTATCAAGTTGACCTGTGGGTATGTTTGTGCAGGACTGTTGTGAATGCCCAGTCCACTTCGGGCAGTGCTATCCTTGGGCAGGTAGTACTGGGCTATATAAGAAAGTGAGCTACACATGAGCCTGTGAGTGAACCACAAGCTGCATTCCTCTATGGTTTCTGCCTTCAAGTTCCTGCCCTGACTTTTCTTAGTGAGGGACTGTAACCTGTAAACTGAAACAAATCCTTTCCTCCCCTAAGTTGCTTTTGGTCAGCGTGTTTTGTTTTTTTGTTTGTGTGTGGTGTGTTTCTTTTTGAGACAGGGTCTATGTAAGCCCAGCTGACCTGGAACTCATTATGTAGGTGGCCTCAGTCTCACAGCAATCTGCCTGTCGCTGCTTGGAGTGCTAAAATTAATGGCATAAGCTGCCATCTACTAGAGGTTAGAGAATTTTATCATAGCAACAGAATGAAACTAGAACACACTTCAAAAGAAGAGATACATACAGCCAATAACTACTTAATACGTTCAACATCCTTAGCAATCAGGAACTGCTTTGAGACTGCATCTCACCCGAGTCAGTCTTTGCTTCAGTGTTTGATAGTCATTACCTGTACGTCATGAACTTGCACACACAGAATCTTATTAGTGCTGGCCTCTGCCTGAATACAGGCCATCAAAAGGAGGTTCCAGCTTTCTTGCAGGTGAAGCAGCCTGGACAAATGAACTGGTGGGTAAAATGACATGGACTGGCTCATCTTTGTCCCCAGTATGCCTGCTGACAGTATTTACCTTGTGTTTGAGAGAGTGGCATATGCAGGAACCATCAGAACTGACTGTGGGTGCTTGGGCTTGGGTTTGCGACAACCTCTGGGACAGTTAATTATGTTTGCTTGGCAGCGGCCAAGTCTACACCAGGGGAGGGCTTGTTTTATTGACATACAATGCAGCATACTAACACCATTGACTCCATCTATGGTTATGTTGATCAGCATAAGATGCATTTTGGGGTTTGTCTTTCTTGAATGGAATATTGGTTTTAAGAAAGTTCAGTGATTTTTAAAAAAATTCTTGTAAAAACTTTTCCTTATAAACCTTTTTTCATTCCTTACATGGGCATGTTTTGTTTATGAGTCTTAACTGTGTAACATTTTGAATTCATAAATTTTACTGATGTAAAAATATCAGATTAAAAACATCTTTATTATATAAAAACTTAAAGAGAAAAAATTGATTTTTTCAAAACTGCAAAAAAAAAAAAAAAACAACAGTGACAGGGTCACTTCATGACTTAATGTGAAGTTTATTTTGTATTCTATTTGTAAATGATAATTACAGAAAGGACTGATATTTGCCTTAGAAAGTGCAACACAGTTGAGTATTTTGGTGAAGATAGCTTTATGATGTGTGCCATTTGTGATTTTAAAAATATATGTGTGTGTGCGTGCCAGTGTACATGTGGAAGGGGAGGACAACCTCGGCTGTTGGTTCTGGCCTTCCACCTTGGGTCTCTGTCACTGAGCACTAATGCCAAGTTAGCTGACCTGCTTCTGGGAAAGTTGTCTGAGCCTTTCATTCGCTATGGCACCTGGCTTTATGTGGGTTTCGAAGATTCAAATGCAAGTCCTCATTCTTGGGTGGCAAACAAGTTACCTACTAAGATCTCCTCAGCCCTCATTTGTTTTTTTATGATTATAATTACAACTAAAATATATCAAGTATGTCAACTATACCTAATTTCTCCATTTTTAGTTCTTTTATTTAAAACTATGTACTTCTTTATATTATAAATCTTAAAATATTTAAAGAACAAAGAAAGGAACATGTTTTTATCAAGCATACACAGTAAAGAGGAAGACACTATATATAGAAATAAACATGGTCTTTCCCCTGGGGAGGCAGGAGATGGCCACAAAGCACCACCTTCTATTAAGAGCAGTTTGTGGGTGGGAGGGTGGATGGGGAAAGGAGTGATGGTAGTCAAAGGACGCAAAGTTTGTGTCTTTTGTGGTCTAGTATGTAACATGATTACAGTTAATAAAAATGTATTTCATATTTCAAAGTAGTTAATAGAATGGATTTTAAATATTCTCACAACATACAGAGAATACGTAGTTGAGATGATGGATGTGTGAACTCACCTGATTTCACAATTCCACAATATACATTATGTGTTAACAGCACATTGTACCCTATAAATATATACTTATTGTCAGCTAAGAGCAGAAAATTTACCAGGCATGGTAATCCTGCCTTTAATCCTAGCACTTATCCTAGGCAAAGACAGGAGGATCTTTGTGAAATCGAGGCCAGCCTGGTCTACATTAGTTGAGTTCCAGGTGGGCTAGGGCTAGGGAGACTCTGTCAAAAAAAAAAAAAAAAAAAAAAGTGAAAAATTTTCTGCTAGGAATTTGGTTTTGTTGAAGCTGTATACTGTTATATCAATTTACAGACTGTCTTCTGCTGGTGGCGTGGGAGGCAGCACATGTCTGAAATCACTGGCCCTGGGAGGTTGAAGCAGGAGGATCAAGTCTGGGTACAGATTGGGCCGCATTATGCGACTCTGCCTCAAAAACAAAATATATGAAATACACACAGACTTGTATATATATATATATATGAAATACATAAAGACTGTATGATACATTCTCATTCAGGCGCTACTCTTAAGAAGATAAGCTTCGTTAGGATGAACTCTGGAGATCGTGCACAGGAAAGCTACACTTAATCTGTTGGGCAGTTCTTAACAGGGCCTTTTGATTTGATTTTCTCATATAAATTTTCAACCCAGATTTTCTTAATCACCACCCTCAATCATCTTCCTAAGGCACTATTTGCTCTAATGGTGGCAGGGAAAAGGCCCTTCATAAGAAAATATTTAAACTCCTTTAGATCACTGCTCCTTCAGATACCCCAAATACAGCAACACCATTAAATTCCCAAACGTCTTGACAAAACTGCGTGAAAAGCTGAAGACTTTAGAGGAGGCAAAGCTGCCATTCACGCATTCCTAAAGCAGTTATTCACCAAGTCCCTAGCAGTGCTTGGCTCTGCTCGGAGCCTAGTGAGACACCGTTCCAATCATCAGAGCGACAAGCATTTGGCAGAAGAGCAGCACAGGACCGAGGTGCCAGGGAAGCGACAAGATGAGTGTGCCGAGCAGAGGCCATGACAGCCAGCCGTCCGGGAGGACGCGGGGTCTGGAAGGGGACAGACGAGGACAGGTGCGCCCGGGGAGGCGGGCGGCGGGGAGCAGCAAAGCCGGGAGCAGGATGCCGACGATGGAGCCTGCGATGTGCCCGGGAGGGGCGACGGGGGCTGGGGTCCAACAAAAGATCTGCCCCTCCAGGGCAGGAGTCGACCGTGGCACAGGCCGTCCACGTCACAGGCTTGGCAGAGACTGCACAACCACAGCGATGGTCTGCAAAGCTAATCATGCTGCTTAACTAGGTGACGTGAGCTCCAGACGCTGGAGGAATCCCTGGGCTGGCCGGGCGCGCGGAGCAGAAAGCGCTTCATCCTCCGCGGGGTGGGAACTCCACCTACGACCCTTTGCAGCGTCAGGTTGCTGCAGGGCGGAGAGCAGATGCCGCAGACACTAGTCTTCCAAAACCAGCTTTATTGTCCTCGATCACGCAGCTCCGAAAGCCACCGAAGCAGCAGCCCACTAAGTTCGCGGACGGCGCATGCGCCGAGGCGGGGGCGGAGCCTGAGGACGTTTCCCAGAAGCCTCCGCCACTCCGAGCTGCCCGGACTCCCGCTCGCACGCCGGGCGACGTGCCCCGCCTACCACGTACGTCCAGCGCCAGCGGCAGTTTGCCAGCGCCGCCTGGCGGTCAGGATGAGCAGTGAGGACGTGCGCGCCGGGCCAAGCCAGCGAGTAGGCAGCGAGTGCAGGTCCGGCCGCCCGCGTCGTCACCACCGCGCGCCGACCTGTGGCGGCGCGGCTGAGCCCCGCCAAGGGAGGGAGCAAGGGAGGGAGGAGGCCAGACGGCGGGGGAGGGGAGCGGCGGTGGCGCAAGCGGCGCGGAGCAGCGCTGCCCCGGTCTGCTACTGCGTGGCTGCGTGCTCCCGACCCGGTCGGTGGAGCCGGCGCCCCCCGCGCGCTTCTGAGCGGCCGCAGGAGTCCATGGTGCGGAACTTAGCGGCGGAGTGACGGGCGCCTGGCTGCTTCCTGCGCTGGGGCGGCCGCTGGAGCGAGCGCCTGGACCTCGGCCTGAGGTAAACACCGCCGGCCCACAGATGGACGGGCCGGGGCGGCTGCGCGGACGGGCGGGCGGGCTCGGGGCCGGGCTCGGCAGCGGGAGGCCTGACAAAGTTTGCGCATCGCGCGCGGCCCGGGCGGCGTGGTGCGCCGCGAGCAAAGTTGGAGCCGGCCTGTGCGGGGCCTCGGCCGGGCCGGACCGAAGCCACCCCCCACCCCCCCGAAACGTGTACGCCGCGCTTCCGGGCGCTCCCAGGCCGGCTGGCTGGCCCCGCGACTTGGCAGACGCCGCTCAGTCTACGAGCCCGCCGTAAAACCAAACTTTACTCCGCTGCTGAACGAGGAAGAGTGGGCGCCTGTGCGCCCGGCCGCCTCTCCTCCCGGCCTGCCCCTCCCCACCCCCGCCCGGCCTGAAACCCGCTGCCTGGGCCGACAACCCGGCCCGATTTAGGCTCCCGGCCGGAGGCGGAGGTTGTGAGCCATTTCAAAGATTTCTCGCAGAGCCACACGTATTTTGAAAAATTGCTTTAAAAGACACCTGATGGTAGTTGATTAAAACATTCATAGAAATGGTGAATATTTATAAAGTCCCCCGTATATTGTCCTACCGTATTACACTAATATATAGTTGGTCATATTAATACGTGATTAATGTAGATACAGAATGTAATTTTTACATATTACTATGTGATACCGTGAGCCTACCTTTTCATTCATTTTGGGTACCGTCCATCTAGCAGTGAGCTAAGATAAGCAAAAGTGATGAAAAAGTTTTCAATATGCTTTCACTTATAGATGTACAATAAAATTTTCCCCACTTCGGGCTATTTTCTTTGAATTTTGGGAAAAGCGTTTTATTGCATTTTCTAACTTTCAAGGCAAAGAGAATTCATGCATAAGACTACTTCCATTAGCAGCAGGATATTGAAGCTGGCCTTGAACTCACAGAGATCCACCTGCCCCTGCCTCCCACTTGCTGGGATTAAGGGCGTGCGCCAGTACTGCTGGCTTTTAAAAAAAATTATTATTTATTATTTTATGTGTTTGTGTTGCCTGCATGTGTGTAAGTGCACCTGTCGTGCAGAGCACTAGGAGTTCAGAAGAGGGTGTCAAGTTCCTCTGGAACTGGAGTTACAGATACTGCCAGGTGGATGCTGGGAATTTGCAAACCTGTGTCCCTTTGCAAGCACAACCAATGCTCTTGAGCACTGAACATCTCACCAGCCCAAGATTAGCAATTTTTAGGATGGCTTCACTTTAACCATAATTTTTTTTTTTTTTTGGTCTTTTTGAGACAGGGTCTCCCTGTAGCCCAGCTGTCCTGGAACTCACTATGTAGACCAGGCTGGCCTCGAATTCACAGAGATTTACCTGCCTCTGCCTCCCAAATGCTGGGATTAAAGGCATGTACCACCACACCCGGCTAACCATAATATTTTTTATTGGTGCTTTGCAAATATGTTAACGATCTTTCAGTTTCACACTAAGGCACTTTTCCTTGCAGAAATTTAAGTGCATTTTAAGATTTCAGTTGGATAAAACTTGAATGTTTTCTTCCTGTAAAGATATATATTTATGCTAAAAAGTTCAATATTACAAAGGGGAAATGTATAGAAGAAGACAATGTAAAGTTACTATGTTACTTGAAAACATGGTGTGAAGAAAATTTGGAGAATTTTCTCTGTGATTCCTTTATGTGGTTGTGAGGCTCATTGGTTGAGATTGAAAGTTCAGGGATAATCAACTTCCCTATCATCCTTTGAGCAGTGATTAGTGTTAAGGCAGTTTTCTGGAAAACCCACTGTTAATCAGCAAAATAAGCTGCAGTACATTTACAAGTTGCTTTTGATTCATCAATAACACCTTTAGTAAGGAGGTACAATGTTACACTACCCATCAGCTTAATATATTGGGCTTTTTAGGGACTTCAGTGAGATGTAGTTGTAAAACTAACACTCTGCCAGGTGTGGTGGCACACGCCTTTAATCCCAGCACTTGGGAGGCTGAGGCAGGCCGGTCTCTGTGAGTTCAAGGCCAGCCTGGTCTACATAGTGAGTTCCAGGACAGCTGGGGCTACAGCTGTCTCAAAAAGACCCCCCTCCCCTCCAAAAAAAAACTAACACTCTAAGAGGGCAATGTGCATACAAGTAAAAAAATCAGTTATAGATAATTTCCACTGTAATTTCCTAGCATCTGCTCTTGTCTCAGTCATGTAAGTTGGATCTTGCCTTACCTTGCCTATTGAAATATGGAAGCTTAAGACCTTTTGTGAGACAAGGTCTCATGCAGCCCAGGCTGGCCTTGAACTTTTGATCTGTTTGCCTCCACCTCCTAAGTGCTGGGATTACAGGTGCACTGGCTTCAAACCCAAAATCTCGATGTTCTCCTTCTCTAAGAATAAATGAATAATAGCCTTGCACTTTTTCTTCTGAGTGGTGATGATCATAGTAACAAGTAGAGCCCAGACTTAGACTTGTTGGGCCACATGATAGCTCAGAAGGTAAAGGTGACCTGAGTTCAATCCCTGGAACTCACATAAAGGTAGAAAGAACCAACTCCACAAAGTTGTCCTCTGGGTTCCACATGCTTGCTGTGAACCCCCTCCCCTCCATCATGTACACATACACAATAAATAAAAATATGAAATGTCCAGTATTCTTAAGATTTATAGTCCCATTATCCCCCCCACCCCCTCTGTTAGGGAAATAACTTTCTTAAAAAAAAGATCACTGTTCTCTTTAACCTACCGTTTTTAACACGTTAGCAGCTGGAGTGACCCTTATCTATTAGATAGCATCACTTCTCAAGTGGCTTTCCTTCTTAGTCATGGTGAAATCCATAGTATGGCCTTTAAGACTCTTGAGTTTTGAGTCTCTGACTTTAGCTCCTTTTCTCCAGTGCTACTTACCTGTGCAGCAGCCCCTTCTCCCCAAATTTCTGATCCCCTTTAAAAAAAGTATTTTTTTGTTTTATGTTTGTGAATATATTGCCTGCATGTGTGTAAGTGCACCCGTGTCATGCAGTGCCTGTGGAGGTCAGAAAAGAAGGTTGGAATCCCCTAGAACTGGAGTTACAGATGGTTGTTAGCTTCCATGTGGGTGCTGGGAATCAAACCCAGGTCCTCTGCAAGAGAAGCAGTGCTCTTAACTGCTCAGCCATCCCTTTGCTTTTTATGTCTGATTTTTCTCCATAGCATTTTATCATTTTCCAACATAATACTATTAATTTATTACATAAGTTTATTGTATTTCTTTACTGTAGTCCAACTTCATGAGAGTAGGGTTTGTCTTAAAAAATTCTTTTAAAAATTGCATTTACTATTTATTTTGCTTGTCAGAGGACATCTTGGGAGTTCCATCCTTCTGTCATGTGGATCCTGGGGATCAAATTTAGGTTTTCATACTTGGTGGCAGCATCTTTACTGCTGAGCCATCTCACTGACCCAGGGTTTGTCATTTTGTTGCTGTTTTAATCCTAAAAATCTGAACAGTTGTAGTGGGTACTCAATAAATATTTAGGAAATTTTATACTTTCTGTTGTAAACATTAAAGCTAGTAATTGTGGGGCTAGATGTGGTGGTATACTCCTTTGATCCTAGCACTTGGGAGGCAGAGGCAGGCAGATTTCTGTGAGATTGAGATTTGGCCTGCATAGTGAGTTCTAGGCCAATTGGGACTACAAGGAGACCCTGTCTCAAAAAACAAAACAAAAAGCTGGTAATTGTGGTCTGAAAGTATAGTCTCACTCTTGCATAAATTGCCAGATTACTTATATCGATGCATATAGGCCAATGTTGAGGTAAAGAGTCCACATTTTAAAATTTGTGTAAGCATATTTGCACCGTTATGTGCACCTCTGTGCACAGAGACGAGAAGAGGGTGTCAGATTCCTTGGAGCTGGGGTTACAGATGCTTGTGAGTATCCTGACATGCATTCTGATATCCAAATTCTGGTTTCATGATTGAACAGCAAGTGCTTTTAGCTGAACTATCTCTTTGGCCCAAGGGTTCACATTTTAACAAGGGAGAGTGGTGGTTTGTAACCTTGAATCTGTTGACAAAATGTAGAAACAAAGAGTGCTTAGCTAAAAGTAAAGTAGTTATACTGCCTTTTGTCTAAATTAAAAAAAACAAAACAAAACTATTTAGAAGCTGTGTGAGGTTATTTAGAAGCTGTGTGACATATCTTTGGTAGTTTCAGTACTTAGAACTATCATTTTGGTATGTATTGAAAGGGAGGAGAGGCAGCAGTAGTGGATATGGAAAGATTGCCCAGGAGGCTTTTGGCAGTATTCTAGAGGAGATGAAAATAACATGATTGGGATTAGAACCTTGGAGATGGGCTAAGTGGATGGGATTTGAGATAAACAGACCTCTGTTGGTAGTTGTAGTGAGGGAGAGAGAAATTTCAAAGATCACTGCTGGGTTATACAGCTTGGCTGAGGTGTGTACCAAATAAGGACTACAGTTTAAATCCCTTTGGGGCTTTCAAGTGGATGTGCTATGGGTGGTTTAGATATGTTGTTCTGAGGTTCTGAAGAGGGAATTGGCTGGAGAAATAAAATTGAGAGTTACCAATATAGGTAATTAAAACTATAGGTATCGGAGCTAGAGAGATGGCTCAGCAGTTAAGAATACTCAGTGAAATTTCCCAGGGAAGGGAATTTATCTGTGAATGGAAAACACAGTGGTCTTACACATCAAGTTTTCCTGGAAGAGTATGAACTCCCAAAGAATGCAGTGAAGGTCAGAGAAGCAGGAGGGAAAGGGAGATGTTAAGGAAATCATAGAGAGGGTTTCAGGAGAGAATGGTAGGGTCAAAATGGGGATGAAAGTTGGATAAGCATTGCATTTTTTGTTGAACATAACAACATGAAATTTAGTGGCTTTTTGAGCAAGTAGGACTGTAAGCTTCCTTTCAAATTGGTGCTTGGGTAATTGCTTAGCTAATTTTAAAAGTGCTGAAAAAAAGTTTAAGAAATTACCCACCCACAGTATAGAAAGCACTTGATGTTAAT